ACTCCCCCCTCCTCACCATCTTCCATACGCCTACAGCACTCGACAGTAAGGTAAGTAATAACTGGAACATACTTTTGTAGGTTTATTTAGATGAATTAGGTATAAAAATTTAGTTTGATGTGGGGTTTTTGGGGTAGTCAGGAACGGATTAATTCATTTCCCTTTATTTCTTATGGGGAAATTAACTTCGGAATGCGAGTTTTCGGAAGGCGAGGCGTCTCCAGGAACGGATTAAAATCGTATTCTGAGGTATGCCTGTATATATATATATATATATATATATATATATATATATATATATATTATTAAATATGACCGAAAAAGTAAGATTAATAATTCTAACACGAATTTTCTCAATCTTTCGTACATTACGCTTCACTGTTGGAGGTAAATCAAAAATCACTTCTCCAAAATTCATTTTTATTTCTAGTCTGACGCGACACGGGCGCGTTTCGTAAAACTTATTACATTTTCAAAGACTTCACAAATACACAACTGATTACAACTTACGTCTCTCTGATATTATATCTACATTTGAGTGAGGTGGGAAGGGTGACGTGGCATTAACACAAGACAGAACAGGAGGGGATATTAATAGGGTATTTAAAAGTATCAACACAAGACAGAACAGAAACAATGGGTATTGAATAGAAGTGTTTGTAGAAAGCCTATTGGTCCATATTTCTTGATGCTTCTATATTGGAGCGGAGTCTTGAGGTGGGTAGAATATAGTTGCACAACTATATTCTACCCACCTCAAGAATATATATAGATATATATATATATATATATATATATATATATATATATATATATATATATATATATATATATATATATATATATATATATATATATATATATATATATATTATAATCTGACAGAAGATTTTTGCTGGGTGATGATGGGCTTGAGGTAATTTGCAGTGGTTGAACCCCCATGCACTGTTACCGTATGTTAGATAGGGACAGATTAGCATGTAGTATATAGCGAAAGGAGAGCATGGTAGGGAATGCAATATCTGTTTTTAGAGAGTATTCCAATAGTTTTTGAAACTTTTTTTTTGGTTATGTGGCGTAGATATAGTATGTGGGTGCTGAAGTTAAGTCTTTTGTCTACATAAAGGCCAAGGAAGTTTCCATCGTTATTAATGTTAATGTTAACATTGTCTATTTGAAAGAGAATTTGGTATGATGATTTACTTTAAAATAAAATGAAGATCTTTTCTATGTTTAGTGTGAGTTTGTTGGTTGACATTCATAGGTGAACTTTTTAAATTCATTATTTACAATATTATTTAGTGTGTGTGGGCAGTGATCTGAATAAATGAAGGTAATATTGTCAGCAAATAGTATAGGTTTAAGAATGTCAGACATTTAGCAAATCATTAATGTATACAAGAACTAGGAGGTCCAAAGATGCTGCCCTGTGGCACTTCTACTCTCAATGGTAGAGTGGGGGAGGCTTATGTCGTTGATGGCGACAAATTGATTTGTCACTGAAATATGATCGAATATAGTTCAAAGCAAGGCCTCAGATTTCGTAGTGATGAAAGTTTAAGTAAGAGGTAGTTATGGTTTACAGTATCAAAGGCCTTTCTCAGGTCAATGAAGAGGCCAGTAGGGAAATCATTTTTGACAAAGGTTGTGTAGATTATATCAAGCAGACTAATAATGGCATTATCGGTAATCTCTTGGGAACAGACGCCAAACTTGCAGGGACTTGTTGAATACTGTATGTAGAATCTCAGAAGGTAGGAGTAGAGTTGTATGTAAACAAAAATTCATATATTGTATTTTTTATAGTATCGGTAGATTTGTACCTGTACCTGGATGGGGTTCTGGGAGTTCTTCTGCTCCCTCTCTACTTGTTAGACCTTGGTCCAACAGGCTGTTGCTTCTAGCAGCACACAGGCTCACACATATCCACCACAGCTTGGTTGGTCTGGCACTTCAAGAGAAAGCTAGATAGTTTTCTTCAAGAAGGTGTCCACGTTTGTTCCTGCAATATTTCTTATACTCGCTGGGGGCATGTTGAACAACCATGGACCTCTGATGTTCTTGCAGTGTTCTCTGACTGTGCCTATGGCACCCCTGCTCTTCACTGTTTCTATTATTTCCAAACCACCACATTTGCCGGCGGAAATACACCACAGAAAGGAAGGGCAAAATACATCACCCAGACGTAACCCCCCAGAGAAACAGGCAGAAGTGAACCGAAAACTGAGGGACAAAAGGAGTGGGAGCAAGCATAGCAAACATCCAGGGACACTGGGCCCAAACCCCAGGGCCCAGATCCAAGCACAGACAGAAAACCCTAAACTGAGTGAAAAACCAACACCTAAGCGTTCCCAGAAGAACAGGAGAAGGGCAGAACTCCCTAGAAAAAGAAAGCAAAACGGAGAAATGGCAATGGGAGAATAACACCTCTGAAGGTGAAAACCCGCCCCCAAAATCCAAGCGCACACTCCCAGGCACATGTAAACAAACTGCAGCACTGCCCTGGTGGCCATGCGGGGAAGCGACCAGCAGAAAAGAAAATGGACACCATAACAAAAGGAAATGCGGCTGATGTAAGAGATCTGAAAAAATGCCAGCAAATTTGGGATCATAACCAGAGGAGAGAGATGAAAAGCCCCACCCAGATAGCAGAAAACCCAGGTAGGGGTAAACAGCCCGAGAATTGCTAGCTGGCATCCCCCCTCCACAGCCCCAGGAACCTGCAACAGAGGCCCTAGGGCAGAGCTGTCCTCCACGCCTTCCACCCCCTGAAGAAAAGGCAGAGTTAAGGGAAAAGGCAGCAAAGAAAGGGCTGCTGGTAAGACCCAGAAGCCTCGGCAGGAGGAGCAGGCTCGAATGCTTCCATCCCCAACCTGAACCGATCAGCCCCCGAAACCGCCTGAGTCTCAGTATCAACTAAACCTCGCCCCGACCCAGACATCCACAGATGGATAAGAGCAGGGGAGGGTAGGGGGGGAGGAGAGAAAAGCAAACAACGCCTAACCAAAACAGGGCAGCCCCGGGGCATCCTCGGGGCATCCGGGCAGGAAACCAATCTAGCGCATTGCACAAACCTAAACCTAGCATGCAATGCAGATGCTGCTTGCACCTTAACAGAAATACCATCAAAACAATACTGTACTGGAGAACAAGCAGAGAACACGACTCGCAAGACTCCAAGTCAAAGGTGTCTTTGACCAAACAGACAGCATGACGGAGGCAAAAGAGGTGACTGTCACCCAAAGACATGGGCACACGACAACCTTCGAACCTGCACAAGGCAGGCTGGAATCCGGAAAATGCATCCATTGGTCCACTGAGCCCTGACAGGGTTTTCCAGGGCCCATAGGCTGACTGCTACGGGAAGCCCAGGCAAGGTGTTGCTAACAGGTTAATACCCAAAGCTAACAAGGGGGAGAGCAAAACACTGAAAGCCCTACGATACGTACAATCATGGGGGCCTAGCAGGGGGCCACCAAAGTATTTATAGTGGAATGATAGCCACACCAAGCAGACCCCCACCAGGCACGAAAAAAAAAGAAAATAGAAAACCCCGCAAAAGTACAACGTCCCGAGAGGAAACAGGAACCAGCCGCCGCATAGGTAGGCATGTTGCACAACACCTTGACGTCCTAACCAGCACGATACCACTCCCTGCCCAAGGCCAAACAAGGGCCACAAAACCCCAGCAGGCCTCAAGGCCGTGGTAAGTGCTAAGCAGCAAGAACCCTCCAACGAAAATGGTTTCCCTAGTACACCAGGGAAGAGAACTCTAACACACAAGGGCAGTACTCACTAGACACCTAGGGAAGGATGCCCCTAAGCTCATGCAGCCCCAGCACTGATCTGGAACACCTGGCCTCTACACACAACAACATGCAGAGGTTGCCACTAAGGCAAATACTGCCTTGGAAACTAAGGCCAGAGTAGATGTCCACCCCGGACCACATTAGCTTTTGAACTGGAGGCCTGAGTAGCCAGTGCAGGGGGGGGGGGGTCCTTGGCTCCCCTCCCCCCTCTTGGGGAGGGGAGTGGAGGGCTGCGTGGATGAGCGGCATGGCAGTGGAGTGTGACGTTTGCTTGCTTGCTTGTTTCCTTGGGATTGGAGGGAGTTCTACCTCTGTTCGGTTTTTAGATGTTAGTTTCTTACAATGTGGGGTTTGTTTTGTTATGCCTACCTTTCTGGGTGCCTAACCCCAGTTGATGGCATATAAGGAAAACCCCCAACCACGGAGGTTTTTAGGGCCATTGCTTCCTGAAACCTCTCCGAAGGGGCCAGGTTCTGGCTTGTGGTCCCTGGTAGGTTGAACTCCATAGACTAATTCCCTGGTCTAATGTATCACACATTAGCCCGATAGCGCCAGAGAGCCGTAGGGGCTACCAATAGAAATGACTGTTTGTATTTTTTCATTGGGGTCAAAACAAATTCTGAGCAGTTGCTTGCTTTGAAACATTTTTGGGATTTTGTCCAGAATTGGGCACCAGATTCTGATCGTGGTCACTGGTAGGGGCTTTTGAGTCACAGAGGCCTGGGGCCAGATTCACGAAGCAGTTACGCAAGCACTTACGAACCTGTACATCTTTTCTCAATCTTTGACGGCTTTGTTTACAATTATTAAATAGTTAATGAGCTCCAAAGCACCAGGAGGCTGTTTATAATAATAACAACTATTGATTTGGAAGTTTTCATGCTTGTTAACTGTTAAATAAATGTAACCAAAGCCGTCACAGATTAAGGAAAGATGTACACGTTCATAAGTACTTGCGTAACTGCTTCGTGAATCTGGCCCCTGGTGTGTTTCCTAAGGTTTTGTCATTGTCAGGTTATAGTATCAGGGAGCTACTAAGTGGTTGAAGGGACATCTCATTACACTGAATACCGAATTTTTCAAGTACAGTACTCTAGTACAGGTACAGTATTTGCAACTCTGAAAATAGTATCTTCTTGTAACCTGTTTAAAAATGTTTTAATTAAAAACATAACCAAGACTGTAGCTTACCTTGAGCTTTTAGTTCAACGGCATCTATTGGAGGGATGGCTATGCTTGAAGCCTCAGTGCTAAATGCTAGAGCTTCACTGTATTTTTCTTTGGCAAGTTCTCGTGATTCATTTGCCACTTGCATTGTTTTTTCATGTGAAGTTGAGAGGCTAAGTACGTCATTGTTCAAGTCCTGGGGAATGAAATTTCAGAAGCATTGTGGTCATTGTCTTCATTTGTGTGTTACATCTGTATTGTTTACAATATATTGTTTACAATATAATGTTTAAGAGGTTTTGAGAAGTTTTTTAAAGTAAAAAACCAGCATTAAATGTAATGAAACATTATTTTCTGTGTGAGCTCTGGAGGCTCCCTGGAGCTATTGGCCTGAAATGCGATACAGTATATTAGTCTGGGGCATCCGTCAATTGGAGTTCAGCCTACTGGGGTCCACAAGCCAGAACCTGGCCTCCCTTAGAGGCTCAGGGAGCAATGGCCTATGGAAATCCCCATGTGATTGGGGGCATTCCATGTCTGCCATCGAACAGGGTTAGACACCCAAGAAGGTGCTTAGGCATAACAAAACGAACAAACCCCACATGGTAAGAAAATTGCAACCGAAGATCATACAGAGAGGCAGAACTCCTACAACACCCAAATAAACAAGGAAACAAGCAAACGTCATACACTCCTGCCGCACCACTTGTTCACAGTGCAAACATCCCTCAGTGCTCTTGGAGCACCTGGAGCGGCGATGTTCGCATGGCAATGTTCACACAGCAAACATCATGGCTCCATCCCTCCCCAGGAAGGGGAGGAGGGAGTCCAGGACCTCCCCTTCCCCCAGCCAGCTACTCATACCTCCAGTTCGGAGGCTGGGCATCAAAAGCAAAACAAAACCGCCGACCAGAGGGAGGGAGGGAGGGAGGGTACCAAGGAGAGACCCAAACCCCGGAACAGGAAAGAAGGGGAAACCGGATCAACCTAAAGCGCGTCCCCGTTCACAGAAACCGAGGCACATAGGTAATGGCGAAGAGCTGTTACACATGCCACATGATGCACATGATGCACCCCTCGCCTGACCAACCAAGCATCATTGACCCAAGGGCCCCTCCGGAAAGCTGCCATCTCGTTCTTCACCAGAAAAGAAGGATACGGGTGCAACCGAACAAACCGACTACAAGGACCGAAAGAGCAGAAACTCCTGTACTGGAGGAGAGCATGAAGCTCACCAACCCTTTAGAGGTACTCCTGGCTGCATTTTATATGACTTTTATATGTTCTAGCTGTCCAAAACACCCAGAGACCAATGCCAACAGAAACAGTCTTGGTAAGCAATCCAGAACTGAAGGGGCCACCACAAACCGACGAGAAGAGAGAAAGGAGAGCAACCTGTGCAGGCAGAGTATGAGTAGGCCGGAGGTGAAACAAAGCACGATAAAATTTACAAAATGAGGTGGAAGTGACATCCACCCCGAACTCAAGCTGAAGCAGCTCTGTCAGCGGCACACAATACCAGGCGACAGTATTCTGCATCAAATGATGGTCCTGAAAAAGTCAAGAAAGAAAGAAAGGACAAAACAATCCAATCAGAAATAGAAGACAACCTAGGAAGAGAGAGAAAACAATGAAACGAATGCCAGGAAACAATATACTGTAGCCGAGATGAAGCTCAGGTGGGACACCACAAAGAAGTCACATGGTCACCAGGTAAGTGGTGATACACCCCCATCAAAAACACCATATGCGAATTGCAGAACTCCTGGAGGGAGTGGGGGAGAAAACCGAACCAGCCATGTACCGGAGCGGTCTGATCTGCTGAAAAAAGTGGAGCCGCAGAAAATTCCCCTAGGTTCAGACAGTGCAAGCAGCGCCTGAAACCAAGGCTGGGCTGGCCACCAAGGAGCAAGAACCGGAAGCAACAGCTGGATCGGAGAAGAGAGATACAGGTAATTCCACCTTGACCAATTCTGCTGAAAGACGTCCATTGCGACAGCTCCACAGTTGGAGGAATGGCGCTACATATATTGGGAGATGCCTCAACCAGCAGAGCCAACTGAAGGAGTTGCCATCGACTGTCCATTCTGTGGACAGTGGAATGAACCGAGACAGGTCGTCCGCCAGGACATTGGACACTCCCCGGATATGAAGCGTACAGAGAGCCAAACCCCTGAGAATCCAGCAGACGATTCACCCAAAGTGACGAGCCCAAAAGAGCCAAGAACCGAAGAGAACCCCCGCAGTTCAGGCAATGAACCACCAGACAGCAGTCCGAATGGAGCCAGATCGTGGATCCCCGAGTGACCCGAACCCTCTGAAAAGACAGCCAAACCGCCGTAAATTCCCACAATGTGCTGTGAGCACGACAGAGCCCATTACCCCTGGCCAGCCTGGTGAGCATTGGGCACAAAGCCTCAGCCGAGAGATGAGGCATCTGTGAATACATCGAGCGAGGGCTCGGGTAGGTGCCAAGGCACAGAACCCAAAAAAATCTGAAGAGGAAGCTGATGACGCAGCAACCAATGCAAGGTCCCCAGAGGCCAAACCCAGCGATCACGAGAGAGTTGGAAGGGACAGCCCTGAAGGAACCAGAACAGATTCCAAAGCCAGACCTGACCTGGCTGGCCTCCAAAATATCGGAAGTCATAAATAAATAAATAAAATATCGAATTAGCCAAACAAGGCAGACCCCCCTCCAGGCAAGGAAAACAGAAAGAAAATAAAAACCCTGCAAAAGGACAATGTCCCCAGAAGGAACAGGAATCGGCCGCCGCATAGGTAGGCAAGCTGCACAGTACCTTACCAGCAAAAATACCACTTCCTACCTAAGGTCAAACAAGGGCCATGAAAACCCCTGATGGCCCCAAGGGCAAGATAATTGCCAAGCAGCAGAGACTCCTATGGAAGCAGTTCCCAAAAGCTCTATGGAAGATAACCCAAGGGTAGTACTTACAGAGCACTTAGAAAAGGTAGCCCTAAGCACATACAGCCCCAGTATACTGATGTTACACCTGGTGACCACACCACAAACAGTAGATAATACCACCAAGGCAAAACACTGCCAAGAATCCGAGGCCAGAGTTGATAACCGCCCGAGATCGCATCGACCAACGAACTGGAGGTGTGAGTAGCCGGCACAGAAGGTCCAGGGAGGGAAGGGCTGCGCAGACAAGCGGCGCAGCGGTGGTATATGATGTTTGCTTGTTTACTTGGGTGTTGGGGGAGTTCTGCCTCTCTGTTCGATCGTCAGATGCAATTTTCTTACCATGTGGGATTTTTTTTGTTATGCCTACCTTTCTGGGTGCCTAACTCCAGTCTATGGCAGACATGGAATGCCCCTAATCACATGGAAGTTTCCATAAACCATTGTTCCTAGTGCCCCTCTGAGGAAGGCTAGGTTCTGGCTTGTGGTCCCCCAGTAGGCTGAACTCCAATTGACTGATACCCCAGACTAATATATATCCCATATCAGTCTGATAGCTCCAGGGAGCCGACGGGGATCCCCACAGAAAATAGGAGGAAACAAAATAAATACACTTCCTTATTTAAAATGTTAACAAAATCCACACCAACTTGTTACCTTTATAATATCTGTCATGTTGCGCTGCTCATCAAGTGCCTTGCGTGCTAGCAAGTATGCGTCGCTGGATGTATTGCGAGCATCATAAGCAACCTGCTCAATACTTTCTGCTTCATCTTCTTGTCTGTTTAAGTAACATTAATGTTTATTTGAACACATTTTTGCCTAATATTTTTTGCTTAAGGTGGTTGAATTACCTAAAACATTAAAGGCCTAAAGATTTCAGATGTAGACAGTAATTTTGTGTAGTGGTTCAGACAGAAACACAGAAAAGTATCAATGTCTTCTCCCAGGGTGTTGGGCCTAAAACCTATTAATTCCAGGAGGATTATTTAGACCATCACAATAGCTTATTAACCACTGCACTGCACAGAGTGCCATGTGGCGCTGGATCAAGGGTGCGCAGAGCACCACATGGCGAGAGGCAGTGATGGAGGGAGGCATTGAGGGAGGGGTGGGAGGCAGTGATGGAGGGAGGCATTGAGGGAGGGATGGGAGGCAGTGCTGGAGGGAGGCATTGAGGGAGGGATGGGAGGCAGTGATGGAGGGAGGCATTGAGGGAGGGATGGGAGGCAGTGATGGAGGGAGGCATTGAGAGGGGGAGAGGCAGTGATGGAGGGAGGCATTGAGGGAGGGGTGGGAGGCAGTGATGGAGGGAGGCATTGAGGGAGGGATGGGAGGCAGTGATGGAGGGAGGCATTGAGGGAGGGATGGGAGGCAGTGATGGAGGGAGGCATTGAGGGAGGGATGGGAGGCAGTGCTGGAGGGAGGCATTGAGGGAGGGATGGGAGGCAGTGATGGAGGGAGGCATTGAGGGAGGGATGGGAGGCAGTGATGGAGGGAGGCATTGAGGGAGGGATGGGAGGCAGTGATGGAGGAAGGCAGTGATGGAGAAATGGGAGGCATTGATGGAGAGAGGCATTGAGGGAGGGATGGGAGGCATTGATGGAGGGAGGCACTGAGGGAGGGATGGGAGGCAGTGATGGAGGGAGGCCTTGAGGGGGAGGCAGTGATGGAAGGAGGCATTGAGGGAGGAATGGGAGGCATTGAGGGAGGGATGGGAGGCAGTGATGGAAGCAGGCATTGAGGGGGGGAGGAGGCATTGAAGGAGGGATGGGAGGCAGTGATGGAGGGAGGCATTGAAGGAGGGATGGGAGGCAGTGATGGAGGGAGGCATTGAGGGGGGGGGAGAGGCAGTGACGGCGGGAGACATTGAGGAAGGGATTGGAGTCATTGAGGGAGGAATGGGAGGCAGTGACGGAGAGAGGCATTGAGGAAGAGATAGGAGGCAATGATGAAAGGAGGCATTGAGGGGGAGAGGCAGGGATGGACGGAGGCATTGAGGGAGGGATGGGAGGCAGTGATGGAAGGAGGCACTGAGAGGGAGAGGCAGTGATGGAAGGAGGCACTGAGGGGGAGAGGCAGGGGGGTGATAGAAGCAGTGAGGGAGGTAGGGTGGTGATGGTGGGGGATGAGGGAAGAGTGGCAGTGAGGGAGGGAGGTGTTTGGTTAATTAAGGTTCACTTGTTGTGTGGTTCACTTGTCCACTTGTGTGATCCAACTTGTCATATGAAGGAATTATTAATTGTAACCTGTGATAGAATGGGCACTAACACAGGAACTAACTTGGAACGCAATTACACAATGAACTTTATTTCATTTTTGTTATACAGTATAAAATATATCCTACCTGGAAAGTAACCTACCTGGTTACTTGAAAAAATACCAACATCTTAGCTTCGGAAATACCGGAGCCCCGGAAATAACGACCAGGGTACAGCCCCCATATAGGCCGTTAAATTGAGTGGATACTGCTCAGAAAGTGTGATAAAATGTTATTCATGTGCTGGAGGGACAGACACGAGGTGAATATGTTGACAACTATTCACACCGGTGCAATGTTGGACAGTGGCAAAGTTAACTTTGCAACAGGGGTGCAAATGTATAAATCTGATTGTGTCATTGACTACAATGTAAATAAGCATTTAGTAGATAAAATTGACATGATGGTCGGTGCCTTCAAGTAAGTGAGAAAATCTGAAGTGGACCAAGAAATTGTTTTTCCACCTTGTTGATGTTACAGTGCTGAACTCTGTCATCACATATCTCGTGAAATTTGGCAAGAGACCACCTATCTATATATTCAGTGTTGCTCTAGTGTCACAACTGCTGGTGAAACATGGAGTGGAGGGTAGTGTTGTGCCATGTGAGGTGCCATCAACAATGCCTCATGCACTTCCTGACAGACTCAGGTGAAAAGATTACCTTGCTGTACACAAGCTTGGTTATATGCCACAGGAACATGTGAAAAGGATAAACGTTCCTTCGTTGTTTGCAAGAACACGCAACGTGAGGAACAGAAGCGAAGATCCATCTGCTCTTGGTGCATTGAGTGCACAGTTCCCTTGTGCTACATTGACTGCTTTAGTGACTCACTAAACACTAGTCTTTACTAGTGCTAGTCTAGTCTTTACTCACTCACTAGTGCTTTAGCACACTCGCATCACACACTCACGCAGTTGTAAGTGTTCATAGTGTTGTATATAGTCTGTGATAGTGTACAGTGTGTAAATAAGTTGTAAATGTAAATAATTAAACATGTAAAATAGAAAATATGAACAATGTTTGTGGACACATTCATGATACATGTAACACAATTTCATTGAATGGTACGGATATTCCTCTGCCTGAATATTGTAAACCTGTTCAATATACATAGGATTAGCCAGAAAAAAAGAAAAGAAATGCATTTGTAATTGTGCTGAAAAAATGAACATAAAAATATTTGTGGCAACTCGTACTAGTTGAATCTGGCGCACGACTGCCTCCGGGAGTCTCTGTCACGGGCGACCACCAAGCCATGATATCACACCCAACTTTCTGGACACAATTGTGGCCAAAGTACATTTGTGCAATATTTTCAACATGTAATCAGGGAAGGGTATTTAACAATTTTGGAATTAAAAAAATTTGCAAAGAATTTATTTTCGGCACACCACGGGTGTCATATTTTAAGGCAGAGCAGCACAGTGGTTAACCAACTAACAAATGTACTTTGGCCCTAAACATTACCTAGGACTAAAAGTAAAGGCTTAGTGTATATACACCGAGAAGCAAAGAAATTTTCCTGGCAAGTGTTGGTTTACATTAATTAAATGAAAATATGTTAACTATTTTTAAAGTTGTGGATCTTGGCAACTTACCATTTTTTTCTAAAAGTTCTTAACCAATGTACTGTACAATAATTCACTTTGGAAAATATACTGTACATTAATATACATCCATTAATTCACAAGTAGTAGATACTATACTGTACTACTTAGCTGTTCTATAAAGTGAAGTAAAATTAATTATAATATTGATTTTTATTACAATAAATTAATACATACTCATCTGCTAAGAGGCGGGCTTCCCGAGCAATTTCTGACATGCGAGCAGATTGCTGACCAAATTGGTTGGAACGATCAAAGGCCGTGCTCAGTGCATCATTTCCTTGCACATCTAAGTATACTTGTGCATTCTGTGAAATAAAATCATGTATGCAATTTATTCCTTGTGTCAGGTACAAAACATAATTTTACAACATATTTCTACGACTAGATGTAGTTCAATTACGAAAGAGTAATAAAAAACCAGCGTTGAATGTAATGAAACGCCATTTTCTGGGTGAGCCCCGGAGGCTCCCTGGAGCTTATCGGGCTAATGTATGTTATATTAGACCGGGACATTAGCTAAGGAGTTCGGACCTACCAGGGACCAGCACCAGAACCTGGCCCCTTCAGAGAGGTTTCAGGGAGCAATGGCCCTGGAAAACCCCTTGTGGTTGGGGTTTTCCTTATCTGCCATCGACCGGGGTTAGGCACCCAGAAAGGTAGGCATAACAAAACAAACCCCACATGGTAAAAACTAAAACAAAAACCGAACATAGAGGTAGAAACTCCCTACAATCACAAGGAAACAAGCAAACAAGCAAACATCACACTTTACTGCCGCGCCGATCGTCCGCGCAGCCCTCCCCGTCCCGGGAGGGGGAGGGGGGAGCCCCGGACCTACCGTGCCGGCTGCCAAGCTCCAGTTCAGAAGCTAAGCTTCAACCAACGCGAAAAAACCGCCGACCGGTGTGAAGGAGGGTTGCCAGGGAGCCTCCGGTGCTTACCCAGAAAATGGCGTTTCATTACATTCAACGCTGGTTTTCTGTGGGGAGCCCCTACGGCTCCCTGGAGCTTCATACCCAAAGAGAAGGAAAAGAAAGGGCTAACCCGGGAGGCGGCCGCCACAAACTCTGCAACGCAAAGCCAAGACAACCGGTCGCAAACCTGCGACCCAAGGCAACAAGAACGCCCAAGAACAGACGCACATATGGATGGGCGGCCAAAAACCTGTGCGACCCACAAATCCCTGCGCCCGAAATGAGCCCGAGACGTCACCAACACAGCAGCAAAAGCTGCAAACGTCTGAACAGCACGGGCGCAAAGACAGACCGCAGGCTGGAAGAATGAAAACACTGCGGACGACCTGGGAGACCCGAGCCCTGAAAACAGGAAACGAAGGAACCGGATCAACCACAGCGCATCCCCAGACACTGTACGCCGACAACAGCAAAAAACACAACCGGACAACACAGGACGCACCCCCCGGCCAAACCAATCAAGTACCAATACCCCAAGAACCCCTCTGGAAAGCAGCCGTCTCGACCGGCGCCAGGACAGAGAAAGGCTGCACACCTATAAAGCTACCACCAGTACCAAAGAGCAGGAAACTGAACCGAAGGGGCTACCACAAACTGAGGGGAAGATAAGAAGGCACCCTGAACAAGGACCAGGATGGCTCAGGCGACGCATGAGCAGGCCGGAGGGGAAACAAAACACGAGAAAATGTAAGAAACGTCATACTGTCTCCAAGACGAAGCTCGCAGGTGGGACACCGTCAACAAAGCCACCTGAACACCATAGAGATGGTGATACCTGCGTCAAAATACCAGACGCGAAGAGCCAAGGAGAAGGCCGAACCAGTCACGGACAGGACCGATTCGGCCTGCTGAAAGAGGCGAAGCCTCAGGAAAAACGCCCCGGGTACGGACACCTATCAAGCAGCGTCTGAAAAGAAGGCCGGGCCGGCCACCATGGAACCATAAGGACTGTTCTTGCGGGAATGGGCTGCAACCGAGCCAGAATCCGAAGCAACAGCTGGACCGGGAGAAGAGGGACAGGTACCCCCCACCTCGACCAGTCCTGCCGAAAGCATCCACCGTGAAGTCCTCGCAAGTGGGAAAGGGTGCCACAAAATGGGTGACGCCTAGACCACGCTGACCCGAAGATGTCCATGGCCAGGAGTCCATATGCCCGACAGAGCCAACAAAACGAATCGGCGACGACTGGCCAACCCACGAAGAGGAATGAACCGAGACAGCTGTCCGCCAGGACGCAGGACACACCCCGGACACGAACCTCACGGTTAGCCAAACCCCTGTGGTTCCGGCAAGAACCACCAGAGAACAGTCCAAACAGAGCTGAATGGTAGAGTACCTAGTGACCCAAACCCTCCGAAGCGCAAACCAGACAGCCATGAACACCCGAACCGTGCTGTGAGCCCGACGGACAGACAGACTCCATCAACCTCGGCCGACCTGGTGAGCACTGGTCACAAAGCCCCAGCCGAGAGACGACCCGTCCGTGAATCCACCGAGCGAAGGCTCGGGGAGGTGCCAAGGCACGGAACCCCGAAAACCCCAAAGAGGAAGCTGGTGACGCAGCACCAACACAAGATTCCCGGAGGAACCCAATGAATGCAAGAGGCGGAAGGGGAGTCTCCGCAGGAACCAACAGATGTCGTAACCAAACCCGACTCCGCGGGCAGACAAGCATGCCGAAGTGCAGACTCGCGCACAACCGCCCAAGCAACCGCTGAGCAACCCGGGACCCCCTCCTGAACAGCCAAAGGCGGGACCACAGCCGCAGTAACACTTCTGGAGGGAAGACAATGAGGGGCCCAAGAGCCTTAAACAAGGCCCAGGTCCGAACCCGGGACGGAAACAGATGGAAAAACCTCCAGATCACCAGAAAATCAAACCCAGCGATCTGGAAAGAACCATCCCCTGGCGAGCAGACAAGCGGACTGACTGGGAGCCCACACCAGCCAGTCGTCGAGGTAGGCCAGACACCGAATCTCAGACACAGACAGGGCACTAAGATCCAGTAAAGATGCAAAAAGTATACGAAGTGCCCATTACAAAATAGGGAAGGCAATAAAAACAGCAAACCTGAAGCCCCACCACCAACCGTGCTAGCCCCAGAAAAACTGGAGAGGAACGTGCCAAGAAGTGACCTGGAGGTCCAGGGCCACCATCCATGCACCCGGCCCCAACAGAATCCGAACAGGAGACAACAGTCCTCCGAGAAGGGCATAGGATCCAGGGCGCAGACTGAAGAAGTCCAGAAGAACTGCAGACGGGAAAAGCTCATGACTGCAAAGAGCAGACGGGAAGCCCAGAAGGATGGGGCGGATCGACCACGCCCCACGCACCCACGAAGAGGAAATGACGAAGCACAGGGGAAGAAGCCCACCCCGCCAGCTCTGAACCCCCCCAAGGGGGAGAAGCCGTCCTCCGATGCCAGCAGAGGCCGGAAGACAACCCAAAGCGCCCACCAACAGCGGGACCAAGCGAGAGGCAACAGAGCAAGCTGCACCCCCAGCGCCCAGTCAACAGAGAAGGGAACAAAACCCCTTCCGAAAGAAAAAGTACACTACCTAAGTCATGAGGAGAGACTACGGGAATTAAACCACACTTCGCTGGAAGATGAAGTGAGGGGAGACCTGATCACCACATTCAAGATACCCAAGGGAATCGACAGGGTTGATAAGGACAGGCTATGTAACACAAGGGGCACACGCACTAGGGGACACAGGTGGAAACTGAGTACCCAAAAGAGCCACAGACAGATTTTTTTTTTTTTTTTTTTTTTTTTTTTTAGTGTCAGAATGGTAACGGGAAAGCACTAGGAAGTAATGTGGTGACTCCACACACAAGTAACGAGGCTGACCCCCATACCATGTCACATGTAGACATGATAGAGCCCAATAGGCATAGGAACCTATACAGCTGTTGTGTGGTGCCCATATCTTAAGTACATCAACAAACTGGAAAAGGTGCAAAGACATGCTAATAAGTGGCTCCCAGAACTGAAGGGCAAGAGCTACGAGGAGAGGTTAGAAGCATTAAATATGCCAAAACTAGAAGACAGAAGAAAAAGAGGTGATATGATCACTACATACAAAATAGTAACAGGAATTGATAAAATCGACAGGGAAGACTTCCTGAGACCTGGAATTTCAAGAACAAGAGGTCATAGATTTAAACTAGCTAAACACAGATGCCGAAGAAATATAAGAAAATTCACCTTCGCAAATAGAGTGGTAGACGGTTGGAACAAGTTAAGTGAGAAGGTGGTGGAGGCCAAGACCGTCAGTAGTTTCAAAGCGTTATATGACAAAGAGTGCTGGGAAGACGGGACACCACGAGCGTAGCTCTCATCCTGTAACTACACTTAGGTAATTACCTGTTGATAGACGGTTGAGAGGCGGGACCAAAGAGCCAGAGCTCAACCCCCGCAAGCACAACTATGTGAGGACATATATTGTAAAAGTACAAGTCGCCGACTAGTGGGCACAGAGCACTACGCCGGCCAGGCAAAGAAGGCACAACAACTGCATCAAAAGGCCCACCTCGACAGCAAAACCGCAAAGTCCCAGCACAACCACAACATGTGCCAAGACCCAAAAATATCAGTCTGCAAGCCAGGAAGACCCCGGAACCCCAGAAGGCAGAACCGGGTCACATGAGGAAACAAAAGTCCCCTGAACCCAAAAAAGGGGGCCCAAGAGGAAGAAACCTCCAGAACGAAACCAAGGAACCCAAAGGAACCCAGAATCGAACCAGGAGGAGCCCAAACCACCACATTTGCCGGCGGAGAACACCACTGAAAGGCAAAGCACAGCCCCCAGCAGAACCCCCTGGGAAAACGGTCCCAACAGACCGAAAACTGAGGGACAAGGTGTGGGAGCAAGCATACCAGCCAGGGGCACTGAGCCTAAACCCAAAGGCTCAGACCCAAAATCAACACCCAAAAAAACGTTAAAATCCCCCAGAGGAACAGGCAACGGCAAGAAAACACCAGAAAAACAAAGAAACGACAACAGGAGAACAAAAACCCCGAAAAAAAATTGAAAACTCACCCGAGACGCTCGCTCGCACACCCAGACGCATGTAAACACACCGCAACGCCGCCCTGGTGGCCACACTGTGAAACCGGCAGACGAAAATGGCCGCCAGCAGGGGCTGTGACTGACGCTAAATACACAAAAACACGCCAGCAAATGTGGGAAGCTAGCAGACTGGATGGGCGAAAAACGTCGCCCAACAGCAGAAAAATCCCGGCAGGGGCAAAACCGCCCCAGAACTGCTAGCAGGCAACCCCCACAGCCCCGGGAACCAACAACAGAGGCCCCGGGGCAGAGCCGTCC